AGAGCAAAAAATCTTATCATAGTGAATGAGTGGGGGAGTGTGGGGTGGAGATCCAAAGCCCATTTGTAGGCCACAGAACATCCCCTTACAGAAGGGTATCGGGGAGGAGACGAGTCAGTCAGGATGCAATGTAGCAACGATGAAAAATACAACTTTCCTCTAGTTCCTAAATGCTTCCAGTCCCTGGAGAAGAGCATCATGCTGGTAAAGTGGAAGGGCTGTGAAAAAGAGGAAGGCCCTCTATGAAATGGTTTGACACGTTGGCTACAACAATGGGTTCAGGCACAGGAAAAATTGCAAATGGAGCAGGACCAGGCAGTATTTCCTTCTGTTGTTCACAGGGTAACTGTAGGTCAGAATCCACTCAATGGCACCTAACAATAATATGCACATGAAAATTGGACATTGAGTAAGAAAGACCAACGAAGAAGAACAGATGCAATTGAATTGTAGTGCTGGCAAAGAATGCTGAAAATACTATGGACTGCTAAAAGGACAAACACATCTGTCTTGGGAAAAGTATGAGTAGAGTGCTCCTTTGAGGCAAGGATGACAAGGCTTCATGTTACATCATTTGGACATTGTGTTAGTCCAGGTAGATTACAGAAACACATGCATTGATACTCATATATGTGTAAGAGATAGCTTTATATCAAAGAGTAATTGTATATTAAGAAACCATCCCAGCTCAGTCCAGATCACATCAGTAAGTCCAACATTAGGCCATAAGTCCAATATTAATCCATAACTTTCTCTTCAGACTCACATAGCCATTCACAATGATGCCAAATGCCGGAATATCAGGTCAGTGGATAAAAAGTCTTGTGGATCCAATGGCAGTGGCTGCCTCTCCAGAGTTCAAGCTGCCATCAGCATGGCTCCAAGTTGCTTGTCAACAGTAATATGTAAGTAGAGAGAGTGTGTGTCCTGCCTCCAGGGAGGAAGAGAGGAAGTTCCCAGAATCCTCATAAGAAGGCCACACCCTCAAGGAGGCATCATCAGATTGTGATCTGATTGACAGGCTAAATTCCACCCCTATACTTATTTATCAAGTTGACAGATCCAGCCAGGAGAGATAAGCTCCTTGGAATGCTGGAGGCAGGGCCTGCACAGTCCAGCTCTGGCCTTGAGAGACAGTGGGGAACGGGATGCACAGTCCAGTAGGCCATCTTTCGGGAGAGCTTGGGGAGGCGGCTGCATGGTCTGGCCCCGGCCCAAACAAATGACACTTAACCACAACAAGAAAAAAGTATATAAGGTGCTATTTTATTCAACTTTTCTAAAGATGTTAGATTATATAGCAAGTAGTCTGGATCTCAGTGTTGATTAAGTTATGAAAAAAAGTCTTGCTTTCTTAATGACAGGGCCACTGTCATCTGTTAACTGTGACTGGACTAATCTCTTGTTCCTGAAATGCTAAGTGTATGTATCATATTAGAAAAGAATTGCAGAACATTGTTTTGCCAGCAGCATGTTCTTGTAGACAATGCAATCACTGGGCACACACAGAATGAGAATAATAGCTGTGTGCCAAGGACAGGTTGCAGGGCTGGGGCTGGTTAAGGTGGCACTGCTGAGTTTTTCTTACAGGTGAATACCTGAGACCAAAGGCAGTAAGAAGGGAATCATAAGTATGGCACCTTGTGCTTTATAATGAGATGAGATAGCTCTTTGAGTAGATGTCGCTGCCCTGCAAATTGAAAGGGAAATAGAAGAGAATCAGTATTTGGTTCTAAAGGCTACTTTCAAAAACACAGGAAGACAAGGTAGAAAAATTCAAATAGTATACAAAGTTCATAAGGTGAAAAATAAAATTCTCATAGGCAGCACATTACTACTTTAATAAAGAATCACTGTTGATAGTATGAGTGATCCTTCTAAGAATGTAATACACACACATGTTCATAGATCCTTTTGTCTAAGCACAAATGGACTCTTGTTGTTTTTTACATCTAGCATCTTATCTTGGGCATACTTCCATTTGGATACCTCATTCATGGTCCAGCTCACATGTATGTAGGTGATTGAAAATAGCATGATATGGATCAGGGACACCTTAGTCCTGAAGGTAATGTCTTTGCTCTCTCACACTTTTAAAGAGGTCTTGGATAGCAGATTTGCCCAAAGCAACGTGTCATTTGATGTCTTGACTACTACATTCATGAGTGTTGATGATGGATCCAAGTCAAATGAAATCCCTGCCCACTGCAACCTTTGCTCCATTTATCGTGATGTTGCTTTTTCGTTCTTGTGAAGCTTTCTGTTTTCTTTATGTTGGGTTGTAATCCATACTGAAGGCAAGCAAACAAGCAGGTTGTTTCATTTGCATATTACAGGTCATTAATGAACCTTCCTCCGGTCCCCTTCATATAGTCTAGCTCCAGGGTTGGCCAACTGGGACTCATGAGTCATATGTGACTCTTTCAGTACGTACATGAGACTCAGAAGTAAAAGTGATACTTTAAATGAAATTATTTAGTTAATGGTGATTTCATTTGTTTGTAAATATATATATATATATTTTTTTCAAATATATTTTTTAATTGTTGTGAGGAACAGTATTGGCTCTTCATCTCAAAATTTGCAACCTCTGCTCTAGCTTTGTGGATGATTTGCCCAGCATAGATTGAATACATATGGTGAAAGGACACAACCCTGATCCAAGCCTTTCTTGATTATATTTTTTAACTTTTTGTTGTGAATTGGATGAAGGTTTATAGAGCAGAGGCTCTGCTTTACAATCAATAATTCATACACATTTTTTCCTCTCACTGATTGCAACCTCTTAGATGTAACGTCACTTATCCCTGTGTTTCCTCTTCCCTGTCCTCCTTTCTTAACTCTTCTAAACATTGTCCTTGGATAGATGCTGCCCTTTTGATCTTATATGGTTGATTACTCCAAGTTGTGTCTACCTCACTACTATTACTGTTCTCTTTATAAACCTATTGCTTGGCTAAAAATTGAGCCACAGGGTTGAGTTTAGTCCCCAACCTTTGTAGTTCCTTGTCCTGTTTGAACTTCTGCCTCCAAGTCTCTGTACAGGTTCTGCATGAGCACAATTAAGTCGTTTGGAATTCCCATTCTTGGCAATGCTATTTATACTTTGTTATGATCCATGTAGTCAAAGGCCTTTGCATGGTCAATAAAACATACGTAAATGTCTTCGTGGTATTCTCTACTTTTAGTCAAGATCCAACATCAGTAATGATCCCCCTCATACTATATCCTCTTTTTTACCTGGCTTGAATTTCTGGAAACTCCCTTTTGATGTGTTGTTGCAACCATTATTGAATTATCTTCAGCAAAAATTCACTTATGTATGATATTAATGGTATTATTTAATAATTTCTGCATTCTGTAAGATCACCTCTCTTTGTAATGGACTTAAATATGAACCTCTTCCAGGGAGTTGACCAGAAAGTGGGTTTCCAAATTTCTTCACATAGATGAGTGAGTGTTACCAATATTGCATCCATTGGTTGAAACTTCTCAATTTGTATCCTATCAATCCCTGGAGCCTTGTTTGTAGCTAATGTCTTCAGTGCAGCTTGTACTTCTTTCTTTAATATACTCAGATCTCAAAAATATGCTATCTCCTGAAATGGTTGATCTTCAACAAATTATTTTGGGTACAGTGGTTGTATTCCTTCTTTTGACTTCCAGCATCATCCAGTATCTTGCCCATTGAATCCCTCAATATTATAACTCAAAGTTTGGCTTTTTTTCTTCAGCTCTCCCAGCTTGAGAAATGCTACGTGTGTTCTTCTGCAAGTCTTCACATCTTTCTTATAATACTTTGTCTTCTAAGCCTGCCCTTTGAAATTTGCTATTCAGCGCTTCTATCTCATTATCTCTTTCACCTGTTGTACCTGATTATTCCAAGTCCAAGCGAAAATTCCAAAGTCCCTTCTGACACCCATTTTGATCTTTCTTTTCTTTTCTCAGTTTTCAATGACCTTTTACTCTCCTCATATGTTATATGCCTGTGATGACATTCCACAACTCATCTTGGTCTTTGGTCACTAACATCAGTGCAACAAGCTCATTCCTGAAATGATCTCAAGTCAGATGAACTCTAATACACTCCATGACATACTTCGGTGCTTGTAGACTTGTTTGAATTTTCCTCAGCTTCAACTTAAACTTGCATAGGATCAATTGATAGCCTGTTCCACAGTCATCCTCAGCCTTGCTCTGACTGATAATAAGGCGCTTCTCCATCCTCTCTCTCCACAAATGGAGTTTGTTTGATTCCTATGTATTCCATCTGGTGAAGACGGTGAATATAGTCACCATTTATGTTGTGGGGGAAAAGGTATTTGCAATGCATAAACCATTGGGCTTCCAAAATTCTATCATCAGATTTCTGGTGTTGTTTCGATCACCAATGCCATTTTTTCCACTTACTGATTTTTCTTTGTTTCCAACAATGAATGTGATACCATTGCTCTTTGATTTGCTTTTCCCTGCAGGGTAGACCACATAATTTTCTGATTTAAAATGGTCAATGCCAGTCCATCCCAGCTCACTAATGCCTAGGAAATTGATCTGTGAATGGTCTGGCTTATTTCTAACAACTCTCGACTTTCCTGGATTCACTTCATATGTTTCACATTATGATCACTAATAGATGTTTGCAATTGGCCTTCTCATTTTGAGTTGCTGTTTATCAACAAAAAAAAGGTACCGAAGCCTTACTCCAATAACATCAGTAAAGTCAACATCCTTTCAGGCAAGGAGTACTGGTGGTGTAGTGGTTACTAGTTGGGCTGAAATGCACAAGGTCCAGAGTTTGAGACCACAAGGTGCTCTCCAAGAAGAAGATGGGAAATTCTACTCCTGTAAAGAGTTACAGTCTCAGAAACCCATGGGGGCAGTTCTAACCTGTAACATAGGATCACCATGAGTCAGAATTGGCTCTATGGCAGTGAGTGAGTAATGGAGTGAGTGAGGAAGTGAGTGAGGGAGTAATGCTCATGGAAGTGAGTGAGTGAGTGAGTGATTGAGTGAGTGAGTGAATGAATGAGTGATGCTCTGAGGTAGCAGCACTTCCCCAGTCATATTTTAAGTCTCATCTTCTGGCACTATATCAGAGAATCTTTGGTTGTTATTTTAAGATTTTCACTGGATATTTTTCAAAGTCAGGTCCTTCTTTCTAGTCTATATTAGTCTGAAAGCTCCTCTATAACCTATCCACCACATAAGACCTCATTGACGTTTGAAACACCGATGGCACCACTTTCAGCATTGTAGCAACATGTCAGCCACCAGAGTAGGACAAACTGACAGATGAGTGGTGGGCATGAGTTTTACCAAGAGGCATTTCCCATGTCTATTTAAGGTTGACATTCTGGCTACAGGGGAAAGACTGGGATATAATCTTTCTGGAAGCAGATCAGTGTCTCTTCTGTGGCAAACAGATCACCAAGCTTCTTTCTCAAGCAGATCAATAATCTTCTCTTCTGCGACTATGGTAGGTGGATTTGAACTCCTAACCTTTAGGTTAGTGATGGGGTTAAAATATTTCTGACACCAAGGATACTTACTAACTAGGACTTATGAGATTCCTGGCTCTTTAAGTTGCCTATCCCAGGAAATGTTTGTAACCACCTTAAACCAGTAACTGTTGAGCTGTCCTGGCTTGTGGTAATCCTGTGTATAGTAGAGTAGAATTTTGTCCCTTGTATATATATTTTTTCAAAACAATGTCATTTTTAATTATATTAAGATTCATAAGGAACTGTAAACATTCCTCCTGCTGAAGGGCAACCTCTGATCCAGGGCACCATCTGCATTCAGCTCTGCTCTGCAGATGTTTGTCTAGTACAAAGCCAGGCTTAGAGAGTGTAAGAGAAGTATGTGCAGAAACGCAATCCTTATTCTGAAGCCAGGAATTTTCAGACATGAGTTAGAAATCATATTGCAATTTACCGATTAAAAGAGTTAACATTACCATTGAGTCCAATTTAATTCACAATGACCCCATGATTGACAACAGTAAAACTGTGCTCCATTGGGTTTTCAATGGCTGATTTTTCCAGAAGTTCACAGGCCTTTCTCCCAACGCATCTTTGGGTAGGATTGAGCTTCTAACCTTTTGGATAGCAGCAGAATTGTTCAAGCAGTTGCACCACCCATGGACTCCATGCAATTCACCAGAGTCCGACAAATAACTGAGAACACATTACCCTGAAAAGAAAGGGGACTTGAGTGAAGATATTGACTTACGATTTTAAGGCACAGTCCGGATGAGTGCTGTGGTCCACACATGTTAAGAGCTTCACTGGACTATATGAGGAAAAGAAATAAGACTTAGGGAATTGGATCATTTTCATGCATTGAATATTTATGGCATCCCTGCAAGGTATCTGACCTTGAAGAATATACAAACTATTTACTTTTAGAATATGTTGTACTGAGTACTTACAGTTCCTGGTGTGGCACAAGCAATTTGCCCTCCACTAAAGGTTGGCAGTTCAAATCTACCTAACACAGAAGAGAGACTTGGTGATCTGTTTCCAGAAAGATTACATCCCAGAAAACCCTATGGAACACAATTCTACTCTGACATAGGTTACGTTGCCATCACTTAACATCAACTACATGGCAATAGGTTAGATTAGATAATCTAGAAATCAGATCAGGAGTTTACCTTGTTGTTACATGCCTTTGTGTTTGTTCTGACTTATGGGGACCCTAGGGGTGACAGAACAAAAACACTGCCTGGTCTGCGTCATCCCCATAATTGTTATATTTGAACCCATTATTACGTAGATTATCTCATTTAATCATCACAACATCTCCAGTTGACAGTTGAGAAAGCCAGTTACCATATTCACTTGTTCAAGATCTCACAGGGAAAAGCTATAGATCTGAACCTGAGCTCGCAGGTTAATTCCAATGCCTGAGTTTGCAACCTCTCTCTCTCTCTCTCTCTGTGTGTGTGTGTGTGTGTGTGTGTGTCAATGTTTTAGTGATTTGGGAAGAAGTTTAGCTTGAAGCACAAGGGTAATAGCTAGTGTCCAGGCTCCAGTTAAGAAAGAGAAATTACAGGTCATAAGGGTGGGGCATAAAATAATGATGGCAACATAAGAACAAAATATGCTTGATACAATTGATGTATGGATTGTTATAAGAGCCCCCAATAAAATGACCTTTTAATAATTTTTTAAAAAGAGGTATTAGGCTGCAATCGGGGAGAGATTATGCAAAATCCCATGAGAGAAGGGGGAATGATAGTGAAGATAGTAGCCAGGCAATGGTAGACACGGGCAGGTGACTGAAGGGGCCTTCTGAGGAACTGCATATGTAGGTTGACTGTTCTCTGGTAGGCTTTGTGTCCCCTCCTTGAGTGCACCAACTTTCCTGGGCAATGTGTTGTTGTTAGCTGCAGTCAAGTTGGTTCCAACGTATAGCTAGCCTGTGTACAGCAGAACAAAACACTCCCTGTTCTGTACCATCCTCAATCATTCCAATGTTGAACCCACTATTCCAATCCATCTCTTTGAAGTTCTTCCTCTTGTTCACTGACCTTCTACTACTTACCAAGCAAGATGTCCTTCTCCAGAGGCTAGTCCCTCCTGACAACATACATAAGAAGAATTTTTCCCCCCTCTTCTTATTTTATTATGGCTTGGGGTAAGGCGCCCCTTACTAATCAAAGTAACATCCTTGCTCTTAAGCATTTTAAATAGGTCTTATCTTGTTCAGCAGTTACACCCAGTGTAATGCATTGTTTTCTTTCTTTTTAAAAAAAATAATTTATTGGGGGCTCTTACAGCTTTTATCACAATCCATACATGTATCCATTGTGTCAAGCACATTTGTACATATGTTGCCATCATGATTTTCGAAACATATTCTTTCTACTTGAACGCTTGATATCAGCTCCTCATCTCCCGCCCCTCCCCAGCCCTTCCTCTCAAAGAAGAATTCTTATCCTCCTCTCCTCTAAGGAGCATTCTGGCTGTAGTTCCTTCAAGATAGTTCTGTTCATTCTTCTGGAAGTTCATCATATATTCCATTTTTTTCACCAACAGAATAATCCAAAGGCATTGATTTCTTTTTTTGTAAAATCTGCTCTACCCATTTGTTTTTATGAGAATTGTGTGTTGTTGTATACCACAAAAGGGCATTGACTTTCACTGAGTCTACTTCAATATGGTGCTAGCCAGGAGGCAAAGGAGGCTAGTGAAATGATACCAGTTGCTGTGTGCATTCTAGATCACAACCTCCACCCATGTGTTTCCAAGGAGAACTGCACTCCATGGGGTATTCATGGCTGTGGCCTTTCAGAAGCCTGTCACCAGGCCTTTCTCCTCAGCCACTTCTGAATGGATTGGAACCATCAGTTTTTCAGAAATCCATAAGAATCTCGGGGAGAGCCTTAGAGACACAGGACAGAGAGAGTAATGCCTGGATTCTTAGGACATGGTGGTGCTCACCTACATCTTAGTAAGCAGTGGGGTGGGGAGATTGATTTGTGAAATTTTGTCACTTCCGCATTTGTTATTGTTATTGTTATCTCCTCTGTGCACTCTAAGAACAACGCTAAAACCCAAGAACCGTCATTAGGCTGAAGTTGTATTTCTAACTCTGTCACTTGCCCATGTTCATCACTTTTGGTGTCTCCTTTCTCTTTCCCAGGAGCAGTCCTCAACCCCCACCTTGTCACCCAAAAACCCTATGAACAATGAAGACATGGGGAATTGTGAGGGTCAGGTTTGGAAGAGAAGAGTCCCAAGGGCCAGCTTAGGAGACAGCGTTGCTTCTATTGTTGAGTGCTTTCCAATAGATTTTTTTACTTCAATGACCTCATGTGAGAGTGGTACTCCACCATTGGGTTCTGTTGAGTGGGTTCACACAACCAGCCCTTCAATTAGTAGACAAGTGCTTAAATGTTGCACGACCAGGGTTCCTACATCCAAAACCAATCCCATTGCTGTTAGTCAATCCTGATGCATAGTGATTCTGTAGGATTTCAAGGGGACAAATCTTTACAGGAGTGGACAGTCTCATCTTTGTTTTGTGGAGCAGCAGGTGGGTTTGGATCAATGACCTTTCAGGTAGCAGGCCAGGGTTTAACCAGCCACAGCACCAGAGTTTCTTCTAAAGCTTTGTTCATAAAAGTAGGTGAGTGCACTTAAGATAACTGCGAGGGGGATGGAGACCTTAAACTTCACCCCAACAATATACCAAAAGGTAGTTCCACAAGGGGCTCTGAAACCAGAATTCTTAGCCACAATTTCTGCTATCATGCAGCTATTTTAGAGTAAAACTTACTTTTAAAAAATTTACTCAAATCCTAGTGATGTCAATTGCCCAAAGGTGGACACAACCTAATGGCCACCAGCAAACTAATGAATGAGGGGGACAAAATATGGCCTGTAACCACAATGGAGTACTCCACACCCATAAGGAGGAATACAGTTCATATACACATGACAGCAAAGATATTCTCTGATCACATTGTGCTGGGCCAAGTGAACTAGTCACAAAAGGACTGATATTGTGTGATCTTACTCAAGTGAAAGATCCAGAATAGGCCAAGGAATAAAAACTACAGCTCACTTGTGGTCACAAAGGGTGAATGGGCAAGGGTTTAGGAAGCAGTGGGTTTCTGTTGATGGTGGTGGGGGATTTGCCCCTGAACACTGGCAACAGTGAATGGCACGGTGTGATTAATGTAACCAGAATCACTAACTTGTGCAGGTGGGAAACGTTAAGTGGCACCTGTCGTATGCACTATTCTGGCCATTGTGAAAATATCACAGGTTCAACAATCACAGGTGATTTTAATACACCTCTCTCTAAGAAAGATAGATTACAGGGAAAGAAATTTAACAAAAAACTACAGAACTAAACTCTACAATTAGGCGATTTGACCTGATAGACATTTTCAGAGCTCTCTACCCAAATGCAGAAAAAAGAATCACATTCTTCTTGAGCCCACATGGCACATACTCAAAGATAGACCACATGCTGGAGCACAAGTCAAGGTTATATAATTCAAGCACATAGAAATCACTCAGATTTTCCTCTCAGAACCCCTATGTCATAAGGCTGGAAATCAACAAAAAAACAATTAAGAAAACAAGGTCAAACAATTGGAGGATGAATAACTCTCTACTACAAAATGAGTGGGTACTGGCTCAGATCAGAGACGAAATTAGGAAGTGTTTAGGAACCAACAAGAATGAGAATATGATGCACCCAAACCTTTGAGACACAGCAAAAACAATTATCAGAGGAAGTGTGATAGCATTAAATGAACACATGATAAAAGAAGATAGACTTACAATTGATATGCTGACACAAAACCTCAAGAAATTAGAGCAGTTAACAGGACAATCCTACTAATAGCAAAAGAAAAGAAATAATAAAACTCAGGGCTGAGATTCAAAAGAGGGAAAGCAAGAAAAAGATTTTAAACATCAATGCAGCTTCTATGATGCACACCTTCCCAACACAATCACTGAAGACAAATGTGTGTATAAGCAAATGTGGTGAAAAAAGCTGATGGTGCCTAACTATCAAAAGATATAGCATCAAAAAAAATTTTTTTTTAA